CTCTGACGTCTATACTGACATAACTGAATTGTTTTCCTAATTTAGTCGAGTGACAAATACAATGCATTTAAGAAGTCCACCAGAGTCACACAGAAGTGGTTTTGGGTGGATGACAGAGAGAGAAACCACTGAACAAATTTACTCTCGGCTGGGTTTTGGCAAACAAAAACACTTTGGATTAAGGATGGGGAATGATTGTAGATTTGAATATATGATTAAAAAAACATTGTCTTAACCCAATTTGCACTTTTTCATTTTAAACTACGGTATATTTTCTTTATCTGAACCAAGAAAAAAAGAATATACTTATAATGCCTTACTAGGTGGGTCCTTTACTGCAAGTGTTTAGCAGTCCAAATAAAACCCTGCCCTATCTTTAATTTATTAGCATTGGCCACAGTCATGATAAAGGTAAACCTTTGGTACTGAGCGTTGCAGATTATTCAAGGCCATTAATTAAGGTTTTTGGCAAATATCAGCACTCAGTCTGGCAGTAGATAGGGTTGAGCACACATAACCTTGAAAGGAACATGGTCAAAAAGGCTTGGCATGACTCGCTACTGATTACAGGGTAATTTATTTTTAGAGTTGTTGCTGTTCCCTCATTTGTACCTGCCAGATGATACATTATACCTCGCATGTCAGCATAGATCTCAATGGTTTCTTTCCTTCAGCTGTTCTACCCCTTCATTTGTTTGTGTATAATCTATCAATGTCCATATGAAATGTTACAATCCCCTACAGGTCCTCTACGTCATCGCTAAGGTTGAAAGGAATACTGACCCTGTATCCATCACATTTAGAATCAACACGAGTTGTTGCGTTCGGTGTCTGCTTCTACACTAATGCTATTTAAGCATATACTATCACATGTTCAAGAAATCCCTGCTGGCTTGTTAAAAGTGAGCATGGAGGGCAAACTGTTGGAGGCAGCTCCTTAATGAGGACAGCTATAAAAGCACCCTACAGACCGCCAATGAACACACAAACCTGGCATCCACTTTAATTACTGATAAGTTGTGCCCAAGCTAAAGGCAGCGGATTTCCCTCCCCCAGAGGCTCTAATCTGTTTAAAGCCGACTGCTGATCCTAACTGCCGAGTTGGAGGATTCGATGGCAGGTGCCACTGTGAAGTCCCAGAACAGACGCTATCAGTCTTGCATCCCAATCTCCACATCTCCCAGGGACTGAAATACAAGTTCGCCTCCACATGTCCAACTTTCTGGCACGCTCGGTTATTAGGAAATCTGCTCGATCACACATGGTGCAAGATCAGAGGAAGCTCCAAGAAGTAATTAAAGTCAGGCATGGAGCTTTTGTGTTCTGGGTCGCTCCACTTACTGTGGAGGCAGTGCAACGCCTTTCACAGACTGTTTACATACACTGTGTTTGTACACTGTGCACATGAGAAATATGGAGCCTGCATAATTCACCATGACACATACTAAAGAATTGATCATTTGTCGAAGAGTAATTTCCTCTGAGAGGTGGTGAAATAAATTACATTTGTGAAGAGATCTAGTTCAAGCATTGTCATATTGTACCTCATAAAAAGCACAGTGATTATCTATAAACTGTGTATTCACAAGTACAATACAGAGCAGGCGATTAACTTTGTTAAATATCCAGGTCAGAGTTGATAGTGGCACTGACAATGACATCACTGTGAGGCTGCAGAATGGCCCAGATTGGTTGATCTATTTATTGGTTGTCTTCTTGAAGACTCCTTCTTCACCACCTCTGTGCAGTGAGTGGCTGCAGCGCTGCGTCTGTAGCACTCAACCTGCTCCCTGTGAGCTCTTGTGGGAAGTCTGTTGGCAGATGCACAACCTTAGAGACCAAACTGAAGTCACACACTGCGCCAAACTTCCCTGCACTCAGATATGTATTCATGTATTTAGTTCTGAGATAAAGTGAAAGCATGACAGAGCACAACAGTGGGTCTTAGGCCTCATGTGGGCACATGGAAACATATTGCTCGATTTCTAAAAGAATTGGATAAACAAACCATTGGGATAAAATGGACAGATGAGCATATGCACAATAGCATCACTCATAAATGATTTAGACTAAAGTTAAATGGCCTAACGAAATATGTAATGCATTGTAGAGGTCGGTACCATTAGCTTTCACTGTAAATTCAAAATCCATTAAAAAACGCCATTGACCGTAAATCTAAGAGGCAAAAAATATACTGAAAAGCAAAGTGCCTGCTTGTCTCCACATCAGAGAGACACTGCAGCTCTGCCCCTGCTGTGCTCTGACTGTCATGTGTTTAAATGATAATGTGTCGATATTTACTCTCATCAGACGGCATATCTAGATCAGTTTGTTCAACAAGGGCAAATACAACATCTTTACAGCCGTGAAATCTGACGACGGGTTCTAAAACTGATTGACCACACCAGACTACATTAATGTTCCAGCACAGAATAATAAAACACGCCTTATTTAGGTTATGTACAGGCGGGCCAGAAGTTGTACAAATAAATCTTGGTCCAGATTATTGTTTTTATCATCTGTATTATCTTTATAGCATGTGTTGGTTTTCTGTTTCTTGTTGCTCAGCTTCATAGAATCTAATTGTATTTTTATTTTTGTAAAATAATGCTTTGGCTTCAGTTACATTCATGGTGATAACCCAACGTAAAGCTCGTACCTACTGTGTTAACTGTTGCATTTCTGACATACATTTAAATATGAAATACATTTTTCCTGCCTCTTCTGCTTGTAATGTTACATGGGGAAAGGAATATCAAACCCCCTAGTATTTATTCTATGATAAGTCAAACAGTCACACACAAGTCTTTCTGCTTCAAAAACATAATTGACTTTGGATGGCTGTGGTGCAGGTGCACTGTGGGCTTTTTTTAAACCCTTCTCCGCATTTGATGTGGAAGTCAGCTCTAGCAGGTAACCCTCACCACATGGGGGTTTCTGCAGCTCTGATGTTAAACATGAAGTCTGCATTGAGGAACCCTGAGATTAAAAACTCCTGACCAGAGTTAGTTCACTCTGAGTAAAGTAAGTGCATGGTCAAGAAAGTATTAAGAATCAAGGGAGCTTCAATACTACATGTCAATGTGGTAACAGTTAAATAAAGAGCAGAGCCGCCATGTAAATCCTATATACTAATGTATAGCAAAACACATGTGTCTTTTAAGACTATAGCAGCAGTAGTGAACGAGTTTGAGTTTCAATATAATATAATATCATACATTATATTTTAAATAGAATTAAATGTCATTGATGATAGTGATTCTGACATTCTTCTGTAGCCAGAGTTTTCCCTATACAAGAGAGAAATATATGTGTTTTTAGGAAATTAAGTGTGAAACAGGGGATGCCATTGTGATGATGGAATTGGCTACACTGGTGGTTTTGGTCTTTATGTGTACCCAAGGGTACCTGACCTAGTGCAGGACTCTATCTACCTAAATGAGACAAGGCTTTCAGGAGTTTCCAAGTCTGACTTTAGTGAATGTTTGGACAGTCCAGTTTAACCTGCAGCCCAGTGTAGTGCTTGTTGGGGAGAAAAATTGAGGAAATTCATGACGACTGAAGAAGTTCTTCCCATCTGTCAACATCTTTACTGTAGAAATGAAATGGAGAAATTCTGAGAAACAGCCAAGAATTATAGCTGTCACATATAATAAGCTCAAGGTGTCTGAAAAATGTTGTTAATATTCAGAGAAAAAGATTCAGAGAGAGAATCCAACTCAGTCAGCTGGTAAGTGGCTATAGCAGCTGAAGAAGAGACCTCAATACAGACGTCTTAAAGGTTGGTGAATGGCTACAAATAGCTTTTTTAAACCAATGTTGTTTTGTGTAGCACACATTAACACAATGTGGACGTGAGAACATGGCACTCACCTTATACATAGCTTATTTGTTCCACTTGTGTTCATTGTACTGGAAGATATAACGACCTGTGTTGTGTATTTTTGAATATTGTAACAATAATAGTCCAAATTGGTGCATATACCCCAAAATTGATATACTGATTGAAAGTCATTTGCTTTGAGTGATATAATAAAGCAGATACACAGCATAGGATCAGGTAACGTTTATTTATGTGGCTTATTCACAATGGTCTTACATACCTCTCCATCTCACTTCTCAGGTCTGTGATGAGGGTAGCCGCTCATATTGTCCAATGTCCTCTTGTCCAGGTGCCATGAGCAGGGTGGAGGATGGTGTCTTGGTCAGAGCTGCAGCTGCACTACAGCGTAAAACCACCCAGATACAGAGGTACTGTTTCTGTGTGCGGAGCTGACAGCGACACATACTGTTCATTGAGCGTAGACCAGCACAGACCTGTTTCACCTGTATGTGTTTTTCAGCTTCATGAGTCAGCACACGATGATCGAACGTCTTTGTCATACATGCGGCAAAGGTTTTAGTTTTGGTCAACGCTCTCCCAACCACCGCGTCAAACAAGGGGAACAATGCACAAAATCTTTCCTTAACCACTGATTTAACCCTAAATTGAATTGTACTATAACTGCTACGTGCAAGTGTTGTAAAAACTATTTAGTTTATTGACTTTATGGTGTGTATCAAAAATCTAAAATATAATTAATAGATATCACCATGAAATTTCCCCCAGTTGGTTACTTATATTAAATATCAAATAATAAATGTCATTCAATTTACCATTTGAATATGCCAGTTAGGCCATATCTTACTAAAAATGCATTAATTTGCATTAATCTGAGAAGGTAATAAAAACTACTTTGTTGTAGTTTAGTGTATTACTACACACTGCTGCCTGGTGTTTTAGACCTATCTCTTTCCACAGCTGACAGGTATGGTGTTACCAGACCAAGCAGATTATGACTGACAACAAGACTCAGTAATAAGTCACATGTACCAGCATTCACTTGATAAAATTTACTGTATTCTTTAATTCATATGTACATGTTCAACCCCTATCCCACCCCCGATCCCCCAGTAAAGAAAATTTCAATCAATACTTTTAATATATTTAGTCAGTTTTACAGCTTTTTTACAGGATTGCTGTTTTCATGAAATTCACATCTAGGGCAGCAACATCATTTTGCAAGAGAAACCAAAAACGAGCATAGATGGAGTGAACAAGAGGACTTAGCGGAGGGGAACACAGCTCATGGGGGCATGTATAGAAGCAGCGCAATTGGGATAAACTATGTACAATACAAACCATTCATACAAATTAGGCTCTAAGATATAGAATTCAATACATTACAGTTGATATATTAAGTGACAATGAGCAAGCCCCATCTCCCCGAACAAGTCACTGATCAATCGGTCAGGTGATCGGACATTCAGTCAGCCGAGAGTGAAGCAATCACCAAACAAACGTCTGCCTGCGCTGGCAGGAGCACAGCCGAGGATTGACAGTGTTACAGTATCTGAGCTTGTTACCAACAGTTTCTTTCCCGGATGAGACTCCCCTGAGGGAGAAGTCTGCTCAGTCCAAGCTCACCCCTAGATAAATAAGACCACCTCACATTTCTAAAAGCATCAAACTCACATTTAGTCTCCACTCTCCTCTTCAGATGCCTCGCAGGCACCCAGGCTAGCTATTTTATTTTATTTTTTTAAACGTTTTTCAATAAGGAGTTAATTTTTATTTTCTAGGATGAACTGCAGAGCGTAAATAGCACAGCAGGGGCAAACAGTCAATATGTTGGTGTCCAGAGAGTTAATTTATCATATATGAAATATGCTAAGAGATAAACAAAGTTATTACATCTATTTTGTGAACTAGACATAAAGCAAAACACATCAGAGGGGTTAGAAAGAAAAAACAAAGAACCAAAAGGGCCAATAAGCCTCTGTTATCTACACATGGTTTAACTGGGATTCAACATAATTTAGGGACAAACTAACTATTACTACAGCAATCAGTTTTTTTGAGGTCATTGTAAGCAAATTAGAGTCTTATATACCACCTTTTATCAACAACAGTTAATAGTTATAAGTAACTGTTCCCTCAAAACTTAGAATGCTGAATTGGAAAATCATTGGGGATGACTGACACTCTGGTTTAGACATGTTTAGGGACAGTAAGGCTAACATACACATTTCTCTGGAATGGGTAGAAGCCCCATTCTGTGCTCCGCTCGTCCATGGTGTGGCTAAGTGTATGCAACTGTCAGCCAGAGGGAAAGTAGGGTGTGTCACTATGGTAGTTGTAGTCTGGGCACACTTTCTGCACCAGTTTGTAGTCGGTACTGTAGAAGGAAATGAAGATGCAGATGACTTTGAAAGGTTTGGAGCAGAGCCAGGAAACATGGCTCTGGGTCTGCTCCTGGTAGCAGCTCTTGGATGGGTCGAAGTTGCAGAGTATGTTCTTGGAACCTTTCTCCACCTTCTCGTACTCGATACGGCAGTTGAAGGATTTTGAATCTTTCGCATCGATGACGGACTGCTGCGATGCCACATCAAACTCCACTATCTTTGTTGGAGGGACCAAGCTGACCGACACGTTGCCCTGACCTGTGGAGTTGTGGCGGAAGTAGACACTGAAGGTGCCATTACCATGATCCACAATCTTACCGGTGATCAGCAGGTTGAGCTTGACCGTCTTGATGTTGGAGTGGAAGTCCCCCCAGCCGAACATCTTCTTGAATTTACCTGTCTTCACCATGGGCCGCCGTTTAGCCCGTGGCCGCGAGTCCTGCAGGTCTGTGGAGTTCCTCAGCCAGTCCCACAGGTCCTGCTCCGAGTAGGGCTCTGGAGTGTCATAGTGAAGGTCCAAAGCTGTGCTGTTTTCTTTGCCATGCAGAGTTTGTGTCAGCAGCCGACTGATTGACATATCCTTGCTGCTCTCTGTCCATATATGCTTTAGCGTTGATTTGGGGCTTCCCGACTTGACATGGGCACTTGTAACCTGGGAAGAGGACAAAAAAAGCATCCATGAGCTGATATGTTATATAATTATGATTTTAATATTGTTTTAGGCTACTATCACTTTAACCTTTATCGTTTTGGTGGCATCACTTAAAGATTAGAGTTTGCATTTAATGTTTCTTATTTTGCTTCCATTGTTTGTGAAGCCAACCAATTACAAACTCACTTTGTCTATATCTTTGTTAACCAGCTACTCGTCTATAGTAACATGGGTCTGCAATATCTTTTAAAACCCCTTTTAAACTGGACAAATAATCCCCACAAACTCTCACTGACACTAAGTGAATTTTGTGTAATAGCTACAGCTCCAGTCTGCACTGATGCAAGATACCCAAGGTGTTAAACTTTACCCACACTGTGACATCTTTCAGAGCACACACACTATCAACACAGCTGAAAAGTTATTCAAATTCAGCAAGTAATGAATGAATATTCTTGAGCTTTTGTGTAACTGTTCTCTTCCCCCCTATAATTAAATGCCTTAATTATTAGCAAATACTTTTGGGACTACGGCTTTGTCACATAAGGCATCACTGTGTTTTTTTTAGGGTTTTACTGGAACATTACAAATTGTTCTTGGCAACTTCCCATTACCAACTGTGCATCAGCGGAACAACATACAAATAGCTCATTACTGATATCAAGGAAGTCAACACTACACATGTATTGTGTATTACTGTGAATGTAGCTGGCCAGCTAGTTTTCTTGATCAGTATTAAACTTTCATTGCCTTTAAATGTAACTTTAAGTATTTCTCTTATAGAGTCCTGTGAAATTTCAAGGAGGTGACTCTAAAGGTGGTCTCAGTCTCCAGCCCTAGAAGGGCTTCGGCTTGTTGCAAATACAAGAACATACTTCTGTATTTGTGATGTGCCATGATAAATTACTTATCTTTATCATCTATATCTTTCAGGAAATATTGACTTTCACTTTCAAGCATGCCATTTTCTACGAAATTGACCAATCACATATATTCCATAGGGTGTAAGAGATAATCAATCCTTGCTGCAAGCTTCAATTTCAAATCATGACAGTGGACAGCTCCAAATTGAGAATTATAGTGCAACAAGCTGAGCGAGAAAGAGAATACAGCAATCAAAGTAAAACATATTGCTCCCATCTCTTCCCTATGTCAAATAGGAGTGTCTACTGGCTTACACAGATAAAGGCTGTGGCTGTTCAGCGGGTAAAGACCAGACTATTAACTAAAGAGTGCTCCTTGAATTGATGATTGATGAACCCATGGGTTTTCACTATTTAGTGCCAATGAGTGGAATTAGGTTCATGCAGGCCCCACTGGAGCTATGTGACATTGATTGCCTGATTTCTACTGTAAGACGTGACAGCAGATACATCTTGCTGAGGTTTTTGCATTTTGCTGGCTGCCTTGAGGATCGATACTTGGAAAATAAGGTTTCGCTACCAATCAGTTGGCCCTCTGAATTGAATTGCCTCACAGTGTGTCTCTCAGGACCATGGGGACACACAGTCTCCTCTACACATACTGTTACAAGGAGAATATACCTGTACTGTGAATTACGTCTTGGAAAATGTCATCACAGGCTGGAAAATGATTAAAAAGGAACATATTTTTGAATAATTGATGCAGAGTATTTTTTAATGGCAGATGAGAGGGTTGGTCACATACCAGTAAATAATACCAGTAAAATAAAAACATTCATAGGAAATGAACTGCGGTTGGCCTGTCATGAAAACTGGTATTAAATGGTTTTCTTAAAAGTTGTACATGTCTGTTAATACCTTAATTTGCAATTTCTGGACAGTGTGTACGTTACCTGTTTATTATTCTAAACTAAAAACTGTGGTGTCTGAATGTTTAGTGAAATTTTTACACCCTATAAACTGCACTCATAGTTTCCCACAATGCATCATGAAAAGTAGCGTACAGCTGATGGTCACTAAGCAAGCAATATGTGATTTTGTTGTGTCATAATCCTGCGACAGTTACATTATTACCGGCATAGAGGAAATGAGCCAAATAGTGTCCAGAAGTATTTTTTTTTCTTTTCCTGATGAATTCACTCTATAGTGCTCTGTATCGTTATCACTATATAGTGAAGTTGGGAATAGTGAATAACACAGCCATGGTTTACTTATCTTGGTATAGTACATTGTGATTTAAATTAGAAAGTATCAGTAAGTGTATAAGTATTAGTGTGTCTGGGCCTGGGTATAACATTATGTTGAACTAAAAGCAAACTGTGTGGTATTGACAACCTATGGTGAGTCAATACAGCTTCTGAATGATGATAAATACTCCGCAGTGGCGGCTGCAACAATGGCAGCAGTGAGTCGATAGCTCTGTTTGGGAATGACAACCGGAGATACAGAGTAGAGTCTGCCTCTAGACTACAACCAGACTAAATTTAAGATTTAAAAACGAACAGTAGTCATATGTTCCACATAATACATGAAGAAAATCAAAAGTGAGGAAACAGACAGAAGCTGAGTGATCGGCGCACTCAGTGGAGGTGAGGAGGATCTCAGGGGATCTATCTTTAGCCAGAAGGTTTAAACTCAGACAGCACTTGGCTGCGTGAGGCAGACACACTCAGCAATCATTCCCTGTTCAAACAGGTCAGGTGTCCTCCTCATACTGAACAGTATCACAGTGTGGTGGTGGGTGAGGTGTACATTGTGGTGGAGTCATGATAATGTGACCGCTTATGGCGATGATCTGGGGAAAAAAGTACCACAACGAATATAAATGAAAGACAAAGCAGTTGTCATGTCTTTCATCCTATTAGAATTAGGATACAGCTGAAAACATATTTCATTACATCTTAACCAGTAGTGGGTTACAAATGAAGGACCTTAACACAAAGTGTCAATACCATATTATACAAATCAAATTATCAGTGTAAATACCATACATTCAATCTTACATATCTATTATTATCAATCCGCTAATATGTATGTAGCATTTTTATGATGTAGCTGGTGGAGGTGGGGGTAATTTTATATACTGCTAATTAATATTAACTACTAACTCTAACTATCTAGGATATATCATATACAATACAATCTTTTCAAGTAACTATTCAATGTTAAAGTTACTACTTGGTTTAACATCTTACTTAGTTACAACATGGACAGATTAAGTCTCTCTGGCAATTGAACTTGATTGGGTGAAAAGGCAGCAGCCACCACAGAGCTCTTACCATTTCAGTTTTTAATTGGGCTTTAGTGATGCATGCTACTATACCAATTTGCAATTAATCTGATTGCCACAAAATAATTGCCTTGCAGACAACTGAGGGCCTCCGGGGCTGGGATTCCTGATTCCCTGGGCAGTTGCCTGCTTCCCTTAACATTATTTTCTACACAGCTGTTTCTCAAAGACGCTGGTCTGGGAAACAAGTGTATTTGTTGTGGAGCCTTTAAACAAGAGATGAATACTTTGTGCATTAAAGCTTTAGCTGAACAATGTTAGTTAGGCTGACATATAAACTGAATTGCTGTTCTGTTTAACTGCAATCATTCAGTCTACCCCTGCGTCCGACGTCTGTGTGGGAGTTTTACTTTGTTCTGTGTTGTCCTAACAATTAAGTATTAAATGTCTCCTTCAAGCCTGTGTCCTTTCAGTCTATACAGAAGCTGCAATGGCAGCTGCACAGGGTTAATTTTATGTTTCCACAACATGTACATTTTAAAGTTTTATACAGTGTATGTCAATCTATCAATCTGCGTCAATCGAATCCACAACTGTCACCATTTATGTGCCTGTTTTTCTGTGTCAGTATGTGGGAGGAAAGTGAGCTCTCGATTAATCTCATCCACAAAGCTCTGATTGGTCAATCAGTTCTCGGGCCCCAACATCCTCCTGCAGCCTGTTCTGGGCTCAGGGCCAGCAGGTCTGCTGGATCCTGAAGCTGCCAGCTGTAGTACGCTCACCGGAGGGAACGGTGCATCTGGTAAACATGGCCGACACTGCGGCCAGCACACGCCTTGCAGATTCCTGACCAGCAGCCAGACAGACAGTTGGTTGCCCCTAGGCAAGGAAGACTGCTGGGCAAGAGGAGGCAGCACAGTCTCTGTCTGTACTCATCATCAGACATGACTTCTTTACTAAAGTCTTTGTCTTTGACAATAATTTCGTAATTGTGGTGAGACAAAGCTCTCAGGCTAAGAATTAATCTTCTTGCTAGATAGATAGATAGATAGATAGACAGATGGACAGATAGATAGATAGTAGGGATGAAATGGTTTACGGGTTTCATGATCAACCACAGTGAAATTCCCGATGGTTAGTACTACCAAGTGAAATTTAAATGCTCATTAAACCCACGGTTGATTGCCACGGTGTGACTTTCATGGTAAAAACTGTCCAGCATCAACCACAGTGAGCATCCGTGTGCCACACACAGGCGTGTGCATGTGTGACGTTTACCTCGTGTTTGATTTACTCTGTAGTTTATGAGACATGTATTTAAACACATTGAAAAGAAAGTCCAACATTTGGCACACAACAGTTCACCTGCCACACTCAATACAAGGAGCGACACGCACAGCCAGCACTCAGGGTTAAAGTGGCAATCCCGGTTTATGGTCCGACATCATCGACTACATAAATGCGATCGTCAGTTTGTGTGAAGATGTGGCTGAGGGGGTAGAGCAGTTTTCCTCCATTCAGAAGGTCATGCGTTTGAATCCCATTTCGAATTGTGTCCTTGGGCAAGATGCTGAACCCCTTCAAAAAAACAGTTGATGTCGAATGCATGTATGTCGCTTTGGATAAAAGTGTCAGCTAAATGGCATGTACTGTAATAATGAACTGGCAAATGCATTATGCCAGAAGTAAAAGAATGTGTGTCTGTGTCTAGGCTGGGTACAACATTGCCACACTGACAAAATACTACTTGCGATTGTTTTCGTGTGTGTGCTCTAGAGCTCACGAGAATGTTCATGCTGCTAATTGCTAACGTTGATACACGTCCTTATTATTCTAGCGATTATAAA